ACCTGTTAACCCTTTTAGGGCCTAGTTCCTAGGCCTTTTGTGAATCCATATGCTCTTGTGCTACCATCCACCGGATGTACCTGGTTACCTGGAGGTTATTCCGTGGATCAACGCCCCCGCGGTCCGGTCCATGACCAGGCCTCCCGATGGATCAGGGTCTGATCAACTAGGCTGTTATTGCTGGCCGCACGCAGTCCAACGTACGAGCCACAGCCCGGCTGATCCGGCACTGACTTTAGGTATCTGTCCAGCTCTCTCTTGAAGGCAGCCAGGGGTTTATTGGCAATTCCCCTAATGCTTGATGGGAGGCTGTTGAGCAGTCTTGGGCCCCGGACACTTATGGTGGAATATTGCTGCACATAACAGCACCTTTCAAGACAGGTGAAATTGCTGACCTAGAAAATGTCAGAGAAAACCCTTTTAGGCGCGCATAACAGAGATAAAACACCTCAATTACTGGGAGCGCTTGAGGTTCCTAAAACTGTATTCCTGGAACGCGGAGGGAGAGATAATGATTATATACACCTGGAAAATCCTAGAGGGACTAGTACCGAACTTGCACACGAAAATCACTCACTACGAAAGCAAAAGACTTGGCAGTACGATGCAAATCCCCCAATGAAAAGCAGGGGTGTCACTGCACGTTAAGAGACCATACAATAAGTGTCAGGGGCCGAGACTGTTCAACTGCCTCCAGCATACATAAGGGGGATTACCAACAGACCCCTGGCAGTCTTCAAGCTGGCACTGGACAAGCACCTAAAGTCGGTTCCTGACCAGCGGGCTGTGGCTCGTACGTTGGTTTGCGTGCAGCCAGCAGCAACAGCTGGTTGATCAGGCTTGATCCACAGGAGGCCTGGTCACAGACCGGGCCGCGGGGGCATTGACCCCCGGAACTCTCTCCAGGTAAACTCCAGGTACCAATGGCGCCCCTACTTTTTATTGGTGGCATTTTGCATCGCCTGCCCAGTCTTTTACTTTCGTAGGGAGTGATTTCTGTGTGCAGATTTGGGACCATTCCTTCCAGGATTTTCCAAGTGTAGATTATGATATATCGCTCCCTCCTGCGTTCCAACGAGTACAAGTCAAGTGCTTCCAAGCGTTCCCAGTAGTTAAGGTGCTTGACAGAACTTATACTTGCAGTAAAGGATATCTGTACACTCTCTAGATCTGCGATTTCACCTGCTTTGAACGGAGATGTTAATGTGCAGCAGTATTCCAGCCTAGAGAGAACAAGTGATTCGAAAAAGGATCATCATTGGCTTGGCATCTCTCGTTTTGAACGTTCTCATTATCCATCCTATCATTTTCTTTGCACGTGCGATCGTGGCACTGTTGTGATCCTTGAAAGTGAGATTCCTCAGACATTACTACTTCCAGGTCCCTTACATTATTTTTCTGCTTTATTGTATGGCCAGAGTCTCCCATATCTCTGTTCTAGTTATTTCCCTCCATTTTTCCATAAGGAGTAGTTGGAATTTGTCCTCATTGAACTTATTTTTTTACCTTTTCCCCAGGGAAAAACTTTGTTTATATCTTCTTGGGGTTTTAACCGCGTCCTCAGCAGATGCACCCTTGAGTCCTAGTATTTTTGCAAGTTGATGGGTGGATGATTCTCTGTTTTTAAATGTCTATATGAGGATAGGAAAAATTTGGGGGGAATTTACTTTCCTTGGGAACAGAGTTTTATGGCACCTCCGATTTAACTCTGTGAACACTCTTTGTTTTTCATTTTTGGAAAAAACCATTCCCCCCCAATTCCTTTACAGTTTTTTAGGGAAATTAACCCCCATGTCGATTTCAAAATTTTTCCCAATTGGTAATTCATCTGCTTCTGATTTTCTTAAAATCAGGCCAAACCTAGTGGATCCAGTGGGGATGGAGGATGCCTAACCCGGGCCCTGGGGCCGATTTTAATCAGGGCCCCAATCCTCTTTTGCACTCTTTCAAAGATTTTTTGTGGGGGACGTCAGAGTTTTGTTTTAGTTTTGAAAGCTTTGCTGCCCCTTAAGGGAGTGGGGCTATATCGTCGTTTTAAGTGATGTGGATTTCACCATGTCCAAGCCCCTTCCCTAGGTACTTAGGGCACGTGAGAGGGGTTTCTTGCGTTCTTAATGAAAACAGAGTTCCAGGTTTTTGGGCCCGGGGCTGGTCCAGGGCTGTTGTCAATGGCTTTTCGAATCTATCGGATTAGGGTAAGTGGGAAATCGGGAAAATTTATGGATTTTTGGGGGCTATTCATAAAGAAATCATTTGGGTCCCCCCCTAAAAACAAAAAAGAGTCTCGGGATTTCAGTTTTTCATCTTTTCCTTTTGTATCTGTGAAAGTCCCTTCCTTTGAGTAAGGGCCCATATGATGTGGTATTTCCCTTTTTGGCATATAAGGAAAAATTTTTTTAAATTTCTTTCAATTTCATAATAGTTTTAAAGTCCTCCTGTCTCCCCTGGTTCTGAAAGAGTTTTTAAACCAAAGTTCGATTTTTCCCACTTCCCTGGTCAGCGCCTCCTTTCGTGTATCAGATATTTAGCCCCCTGGGAGCTCATGGCTCTCGTCGTCTTCTGCGGGGAGCATTTTTCCTCTCCAGTTTACTCCTGCTCCTCTTTTTTTTAGGGGAATTGCTAGAACATGCTTCAGCTGCCGGGGAATTTGACCCTTTCAAGGCACTGGTTTGGACCATGTCATTTAAGATATTTTCCCCAAACTTTTTCGTTTGGAAACATGGTTTACCTGGTCCCAGTTGTTTCTTGTTGTTGGTTGTTTTTTGTAAAAGACACCTTCACAGGACATGCATTCTGCTGATCGGACCCCTATGATGTACGTCTGGTTCGTTTAGGTTGTGATCGGATTAGTTGTTTTGTTTTCTTATGTTCTTACGGGCCCTCATTATTTTTGAAATAGGTCAAGTGGTTTTCTAGTCTTTTTGGGCTCCACTATTCTGGCTTAAGGTTTTTTTCACAGGACTTAGTTGCTCATGTGTTGTACCTTTCATCTGGCTACCCCCGGGGATTATTTGCTCATTCTTTTCCCTTTTGTATGCCTTAGGTTGAAAAAAACCCCGCAGAAGATGTTTGGGATGGAGCTGGAAGGTTTTCCCGACAGTAACAATTTTTATAGCTGTTCCTTGAATGTTGTAGGTTGCATCTGGTGGCTTATATACAACCCCAATGACTAGGTTTTGGTTTTGATCTTTATTGATAGAACTTAATACCCATTTGTGGTGTTTTAGCAAAACCCTGCGATGAGGGACTCTTGACATACAGGCCAACCCCCCCCTTTTGCCCGTTCTTTGTCCATCTAAAAAGGTTTTAACCACTTATCCATATTTCACTGTCAAAAATGATCTTTTTTGTGAGTCTCTTTAAAGGGTGCAAAAAATTGCATTAGATCCCCTAGAAGCCCTGATAAAAGGTATTTTTTTGTTGGTGGTGGCTTTAAAGGCCCGTATTTAGCAAATATGAATGGGTTGTATTCTTGTTTGTTGGGGGGATTTTGTTGGCATCAGTGTTTTAATTTTGGGGGGGGCCATGGGGGCCCCTGGCTGCACCCCAGTCCCCAAAAAGGTCGAGGGGGGGACTTTTTTATTTCCTTCATTCTTTTTCCTTTCCTGCACTAAAAATCACTGGGGTTGGGTTGTCGTGCACTATTGTTTGTCTTTGGGGTCTGTGCCTCCTGGTCCTTTTAGATGGTATGCAGGGCATCGTGTTGTAACACTGCTTCTGGGGGACGAGGAAATGACACATTTTTGGGTGAAAGAAAGTAAGGAAGAAGAAAAGACACATCCTTTAGACAGGAGGTCGTACATTTTTTGGGGGTGTAAAGTTAAGTCCCATTTTTTTTCTTTTTTCCTGCTTACGTGCCCCAAGCATAATATTTGCACCCCAAATTTACCCTTTTGGTTGAGAATTTTTTGGGAGGTGTGTTGTCAAATTTTTGCGGCACTATAATCCTCAGTATCCAAGCCGGGCCAACCCCTCCGGTTCATTACTTTCCTCAGTGAGGAAGAAGGAGGAGACTCCTCTCCAAAATCTGTACTTGGGCCCCGGTTTTGTGCGTGATGGTTTTAATTTTCGGTTTTGTGGGAGGGTCCCTAGTAGAGTCTGGGTGGGGGCTAGGTCTGAGTCAGACTGGGGTGGGGGCTGAGCTGGGCGCAAGCACTGTGGGTATTGTGCCATGACTGGGGGTGGGTCTGGGTTTTGCACTATAGGGTGACTAGTAGTTTCGAGTCATCTGTTGTGGGATGGGGGGATTCTGATTTTTTGTTTTAAAATTTTCTTGCTCCCCCGTTTTTATATTTTTGGGAGACGTCCAGAGGTCATCTTTTTTTTCTTGATTATTTTATCATTTTGTATTGCGGTAAAACAATAAACTAGCACTTCGGTGGCAAAATCTTACAAAAAAAAAAAACTCATACGTGTTCGAGTTGCTGCGTATAGCCTCGGCTTCGAATAATATATAATTTTTATTGACTTTAAAAAAAATTAAGACGTTAAATATTTTGCATTTCTATTGAGGTTGTCTGTATTATTTACACAAGCGATATTCTTTCTCTAAAATGCATATAATGTATAAATGGAAATATTTTTTTATAAAAAAAGGGGTGATAGTATACGATTTATTTTTAAGCATACAAACAGAGGTACAAAAAATACACAAAGAACAAAATTACATAATCTGATTTAATTATTTCAGTATATTGGTAAGTTATTGACCTTGGGATTTGTGAATCACACTAAAGTATACTTGAAATAATTTATGCATAATGACAGACATAAAATTATTAAAAAAAAATATTAATATGGAAGATAATTATTTTTATTAGTCCGTAAACTCTTATCCAAATAATAAGTTTAAACATAAGCCCTCACCCAAACTTGATTGGTTCATTAAAATCTCAAACCTTTCCCCTTATAAGATACTTTTCTTAATGACGTAAATTATTAATATTGACGAATATAGATTATCGTTTTAAATGTGAATGACTTGATGTGTTTGTGTGATGGCTAAGTAATATGACGCAGCGTATGGTCGCCTCCTGCTGGATATCTCGCGCCAAAGCAGCAGCGGAGTCGTGGTGTCAAAACAAGACAACTTTTACTTTACAGAATTGATAAATCTAGCAGCAACAATGGCTGAGTTAAGCACAGGAATTATTGCAGTGAGTTCCTACTCTTCTGAAGTTGTTAACTAAGTGAGAACAAGCTGTCTTAATAAATAAACCTGCTGAGTGTTGAAGACAGAGTAAAACAACTGAAGCTAAATCATGTTTATAAAATTGCTCACAAACAGTGTCCAGAATATCTTGCTGTCAATTTTGTCAAGGTTGGGAACCAAAGCAATCATAGTACTAGGGGGAGAGAGCACAACTTTGTAGTACCCACAGTCAGTGGCCAGGCTTCAAACACCTTTTATTGTACAGCAATAAAGGAATGGAACAGACTGCCCGCACATGTCAAATTATTATTATAATCAAAAAGAAGCGCTAAGCCACAAGGGCTATACAGAAAAGCCAATCATAGCATGAACCAGTTCAAGAAGAGTGCCAAAAGGTGTCTGATGAATGTAGCTACAGAAAGGGAGGGGAATGATTTTCTATTTTTTAGCTAACATACGTGTAAATTTTACCTTATTCCTAGTAATGATCCTCGTATTGTAGATAGTCTTAATGACCCTCGTGTAGTAGATAGTCTTTTTAGTATGATAATAAGATGTTATCTTCATTGTAGAATAATAAGAAAATATTATAACCTTTATTTTATAATAATAAGGTAAAAGGACCACAATGGAAATAAGTCACTCTGTCTGACTTTTTTGGGTTATCCTAGGTTCTCTACACATATGCTGCTATGTATGATAATTCTATGTAAATGTATTTGTGTATACCTGAATAAACTTACTTACGATACTCGGCAAAATTACCAAAAGATTTTATGCAGTCCAGCATTTTTATGTTTTGATGTTGTACTTGCATGTTCAGCTGCTAGAAACAAAATGCACGAGATTTGAAGTTACTTTGGTATTTATATAGAACAAGTTTCAAGGTGAATCATAACGGTGGTAGAATGTGTTATCCCAGGTTCTCTACATATATGCTGCTATGTATAATAATTATGTAGCTATGTTTGTGTTAATCTGAATAAACTTACTAATGTCCCATGGACCCAAGAATTTGTCTTGGCCTAATATTGAGTTTAGAGCCAACAACGAAGTAATATTTCATTTTCATTTCTATAACAGGCACAGCGCTGTATGACTAGTGGGTTTAGCACTTCTTTTTGTTTAGGATAATATAACACTGGCCATCTACCCTTACTTACCCATAGCCTGCCAATAATTTCTTGTGCTATTTTTTTTTCTGAGAGTGGATAAATAGTTATTTTTATGGGAGGTAAAATGTATCTGGTAAGTTTATATAGGTACAGGTCCACAAGTACAATTATCATACATAGTAATGTGTAAATTATCTGGCAGAATAACCCAAAAAAGTCAGTCATTGGCAGGCCAGTCAGAGTTTGACTTGCTGTTCCAGTGGTGTAAATGGTTTTAATACGTAGGGAGACACTGGTCAGAGAAATAGCAAATATCAAACTGAACCTAAAGGAATCTTACAGGAGTTGAGAAACGTGGAAAAACTAAAAGCCATAAATGAAATCAAAAGAAACCCAAAGTATTTCGTTTCTTAATGCCATATCAAAGTCGAGAACAACATCCAGTATTAGGCCCCTACTTAGACAAGATGGATCCTGCAAAAATGCAGAAGGAAAGAGTGATACTCAAGTCCGGTTGACTGGGTTTTTTCCCAAATCGCTAACCGCTGAGCGTCGAAGACCAAAATTTAATTTTTTTTGGAGAGAGACTTATTTGGTAGACAAAAACCTGTCTGTATTTCCTGATCCCAAAGACTTCGAAAGGCGTAAATGAATGCCGTGCATTTTCCCCCCAGTTCAGACTCGGGGGAGCTTGTGTTGTCAAAAATGAAAAGAACCCCCTTCAGTGTTTTTAAACCCCTTTTGGGAGGGGCATGGACATTGGTCACCCCACAGCTGCAAAAAAACAACAGCATAGCCCCACTCTACAAAGGGGGCAGTACAGCAATGCAAAGAACCACAGCCCGATGGGGTAATTTTGCCTATCATAAAAATCTTTGAAACGTTTAAGAAGCAAGACTCCCACCATCTAAACCTTAAATTACAAACCCGGGCAGATGGGTTTAGAGCGGTCTTCCTGTCTGCCCAAAACAACTGGACCACTATGAAAGGTTGGGATGTCTAGAAGACAGACAGAAAGATTGTAATATACCCAATTGTAAAAGCCTTGCAAGTTTGACCATGGGGTAATGGCAGAGAATGCGTGATAAAGGAATAACGGGAAAAAATTTTGGTGTGGATCTAAATTTTTTAAAATTTTAAAAAAATATAGTAAACGAAAAGTCTGAGGTGGTACGGTGAAAAGCTTTTTCCCACAGGCCGTATCCCCCCCCATCCTATTCCTCATCCTATTGACATAGCGGGATAAAACCCACTGGGCGGGTTGACGCCCGAATTGGCAGACGCCCTCCCTAAAAGACATGCAGGACTCCAGCCGCAAAATCTTTAAAGGGGCCCGCAAAAAACAATTAAAATTAGCGTGAGAAATTTTAATTCTCCGATAGGGAAATTTGTGGGGAAATTTAAAAACTACTTTGGGAGTATAAAACAAATTCACCACACATAGATTTTATTTAGTTTAATTGTTTTTTATGCCCCCCATACCCATCTGTGGGCGGAGTCAAAAGATTACAGAGGTAAAAAATTGGCCCCAGGGAGGGCCCCCCCCCCCCCCCTTTTGAAGTGGCAATTTAAAAAGGGTAATGAAAATTGGTCATAATCATGCCCAAGTTACAAGGAAATGAGCCCCGGGTTAGAGCTGGTCACACTCATGAAAAAATTTGCAAAGGTAATGAATCATAAACACATAATCAGGAATTTACAAAGGGTAATGAGCTCCAGGAGAGCTGGTCACAATCAGAAAAGTTTCAAAGGTAAGGAATGATAACAGTTTCACATGATTACAATCAAGAAAATTTACGAGGAATGGCGTAAACAAACTGCAGGGAATTCATCCATTCCCCCAAACAACAGTGTTGCAGGTGCCTGCTCTCCTCGGTAGACACCCATTGAAAACAGCGCAAGTTGCCGGGGATCTGTGCTTGCACGAGCCCCATCGCCCCTCCCCAAAGGCCCAAGACCCCAGGGGACTCCGTTAGCAGCCCCATGAAGAGCCCCCCCCCTAGGGACATGTCAGCGCCCTGGGGGAGCCAAGTTGATTGAAGACCCCAGGCCCTGTGTGCAGGATGTTAAAGCTTGAGGAATGAGAAAACATGCCTGTGGCCCCTGCAGCTCCCTCGGGGTCGAACCCCACAAAGGTGCAGCCTACCCATTCTGTGGGCGGTAGTCAAAAAAATTACAGAGGTACATAATTGGCCCCAGGGACTGGACCCCAAATTTTTGATAGTGAGAAGTTAAAAAAGGTAATGAATAGATCTGGTCATAATCAGACAAGTTCAAAGGTAATGAGCTAAAGGTAAAAATGGTAAAACACTTAAAATAATTGCAAAGTAATTCGGGCGAAAAAATGTAAAAGACAGAGTGTAAATCATGTCAAAAGATTCGCTTAAAAGCTATAACATTGTATCGGTGCATTGTTGAAAAGTTACAGGATGGTAATGAAAACCTTCAAAAATAAGGGGCCAACCCCAGTGACAGTCTTAAGTCACTTGTTCTATCTGGTGGAATTTTGTGACCTTACGCACCTTTAAAGGCAGGTGAAATTGCTGCCCTGAAAATATACAGAGTTTTTATGGCACACAAAACTGCAATAAAACACCCATTATTGGGGAATATTTAAAAGTTCCTCAACGTACTCCCTAGATTGCAGTTGGGAGGAAAATGATTTTTTTTTTTTTTCACCCCGGCCGTTCCCCCCAGGCGGGGTGGCCCGAAAAAAAAATTTCACCATCATTACTCATCACTGTCTTGCCAGAAGGGTGTTTACACTACTTTTTTAAATGCAACATTAACACCCCCTTCAGAGTGCAGGACTGTTTCCAACCCGGACAATCCGCTTTTCCCCTGAACCTTCAAAGTTACTTTGTACACCAACAGCACGTCAAGTTTTAAAAAAACCCATTTTCCCCTTTCACCATCAAACCCCTCAACATCCTCTAACCCAAACCCCTCGCACACAAAAACCTCCTTTCCCCCCTCCCCCCAATTTTCCACCCGAACCCCTACCCCCCCCTTCCCTTCATACAAAATGATACACTCTTAAGTCATTCTGTTTCGCCCTTTTTTTACATGTCCAAACCCCCTCAAAAACCCCTTTCCTCACCCCTTGGACAACATTTTTTGGAAAATCCCGCACCCCCTCCTAACTTAAAATACGAATTCTTGCTTATATTCCACCACACTTTGCCCTCAGACAGGGCTCTCCACTCCCTCCAGCCTTTTCCTCGTGAAAACATTCATCACCCCGTTACACCTATAAGACTTTGGGTTTAAAACTATACTTCATACTTCCCCTTTTTCCCTAAAGGACAAAGTTCTTTGTCTCCCAGACCCCTAAGTGACCATCACTTTTTTTCCCCCCTAAATTCTATGATTCCCCCATTTTCATAAAAACCCATCCGCTGACACGTCCACTCCCAAAATATTGAATACTTTCCTCTCCATCTCTCTCCCCCCCAAATCTGTTTCAATTTTTATCACTAATCTTTTTGTTTCCTCAAACCTTTACTTTTTCCCTGTATTCACCTTTAAATTTCTTTTTTTGCAACCTACCAAATTCATCCACAATCTCTCACTTCTCTTAGATCCCCCAAGAGCCAGTGTTTCAGCAAAGGCACTGGACAACTCCCACTTTGTGTGTGATTTTTATTTTTAATCCACCCCTCTTGCCAAGACCCCGCATTTATTCTCTTACAACCCATCTTAAATATATTAAAAAACCCCACGGTGACATAAACCACCCTTTCAAAGCCTATTTTTACTGGGAAAAAATTTCCCTTTTCACATACTCTAATTGAGCCCACCCCTCGAAAAAACTTTTCCCTGCTTTCGAAACCCACCTCCTACCCAACATTTGAACATCTGCACTTTGCCCCCCTATCCCCCCTGTCAT